GCTGTATATTGCTGAAACCCTGTCTAAGAAATGGTCTTGTAGAGTCAAATCCACATCACAAAAGCACAGTTTCCAAGTGATCAGGAGGTTTCCACCTGTTTTGTGCTACCGGATCAATGCAAATCATACAAAGTAATCATCCTGCAAAGCTGATCATCAAATGGATGTTCTAGTATACTAATCTTACTAGTGAGTTCAAAAATACAGCAGCATAAAAGAAGAATAAAAAATTATGTGAAGTATCAGGAGCATTGTGTATCCCTTAATCAAGAGACTGTAAAGGAGATAACAAATTTAAACAAGCTAAATAATAGACAAAAACCTACGTACAAGCTGTTGACCATGATGTCTTTCCAATAAAGTACTCTGCTTCTGTTAAGATGCAAGTTTTGACTCACCACCTGGGAGAGTTGTGAATGCAAGAGAAAACACCAGAGGCAACTATACGTATCCAGTTCATTAAAATACATCCTCTTCTAATAAAAAGTACCACTGTCTCAGGAGGGTAGTATATTTCAGCTTGCTCCTCTGAAGAAAGATATGCTGAGAGCTGCTAGCTATATCAAAGGAAAGGGGAGGAAGATTTGCAGATCTTACACAAGCATAGATCTTTTAGGACTTACATAATATTTCATGTACTATCCCACTTTTACTGCAGTACATATCCTAGGGAGTGACTTTTAGAAAGTTATTTCAATTCGCAAAATAAATGTTATTTATGTAAATGTTTGCTATTGTCAAAAATGGACTTTGAAAGAAGCTTTCTTAAACTTAAAATCCCCCAAACTCTAATACTGAAAATCAGATCTGCATAGAACAAATTTTCCCCAGAAAATTCTAGTGTATTTAGCGCACGCACACACATATGCATATACTTAGAGAAAATTGTAGTTCAGCAAAGTAAATCTTTTGGATTTTAAGATGTTTTCAATAAATGAAAATATTAGGATTTTGGCTAAAAATAGTCTTTTAAATAAAAGCCATAAAACTTAAAAAGACAGCATCCAAGTTAGTCCCTCAAATACTCTAACATTTTAATGAAAAAAAAGTCAAATAGTTGGTGAGGTTGAATGCATACTATGGGCCTTCCTCAATGGAGAGGTAAATGGTGCTTGGTTACTGTGCCATGTTAATAATGAAATGCAAGAGTATTACCTATTCTATGTATATATGCAGTGCATTACAAAATGTATTTATTGGAACTAAGTAGTTTTCACATCTTATGACTGATTACATCTCCATTATTCCTTGTTGAAGGGCCTTAGTTCAAAATACACTGATCTTTCTAAAAAAAAACAACAAAAAACCCCCACAATTATATCTTTTTAAAACTGCTTCTTCCCTGTTAGCTTTGCCCCTCAGCTGTGACATTACATGGCTTGAAAAAGTAGCTGTCAGAGATGCGTACCTAGTGCATTAGTTCTTTATATTGCCCCTACTAGGGGACAAAATCAGTTCTCAGTGCTATCTCTGAAACAACCAAAAGGCTACAATAAAATATAAATGAAGAGAGATTGACGTAGCAATATCCCTTGATGTGCTTGTTCCTCATCCAATCCCTGTAAGTAATTACCTGTCTGAAGTTGTGCAAGCACTTCAGTTTGGCTGGAGACAGCTATTGATTTAGAAATCAGATGTTCTTGGGCTGGGTTGGAAAAAAACTTTTTAAATTAATTTTTTTTCTCAGCCTGCTGTGGCCATGAATAAGCATCATTCATTTTATGCAATTTCCATTTGAAACATTTTTGTATTGGGAATTTGTTTACCACTTGTGGCTTGCTAGTCTGAAATTAGTTTTCTAACCATGCCTCCTAACCAAGCATCTGAAATGCTCCATTAAATTTTGTAGAGTTTTTTTTTTTTGTCTCTATTGGTTATGGGAATGTTGTCTGTCTTTATGTACAGAGTAATATGATTTATTTTGGAAGACGCAAAGGCCTGGATTTTCATGATCTTAGAGTGTTTATTTTGATTATTTAGATTATTTTTAAAAGACTGAACTGCTGTAAAACCCACGACGTTGAGACTTGAAGAATGCTGTTCATTGTAAAACTTATTCAAGAAATAAATATGCTTCTTTCCTTTCACCCCTAGGTCTTACCTTTAGATCTAATTAAGCAGAAACCTAAGCCTAAGTACTTGAAAATGTTTTCTTTAGGAAATGCATATTTAGATGTTGAATGTAATTTTTAAGATGAAAATCATGGGCCAAAATAGAAGGTGTCTTACTGACGTTACCAGAACAGGTAAAGCATTGTGAGTTTGGCTAAAATCTGGAAGCAAATTGTGCACATTCCACATTGTAAACGCCATTAGTGAGCGCATGGGTTTTTCGACAATCTCTTCCTCATAGGAATAGGAAGGCCACAGCCTGATCACAAAACGATGCTTAAAGAAATGTCTGAACACTTTTAATGCCTTTTGTGTTTAAAAGTAGGAAATGTGGGATAGTATGATGCTGACTTCTAGTGTCAGCTGTGTCTCATACCTGCCAGGAACCAGGTGCTGAAGTTGATGACACTCATTTGAACTGATGACATACATCAGTCATTTTCAGACTGCAGTCTGGATTTTCCAGAAAATGCATGGGTTTTTTGGGGTGTTTTGCTTTATTTTTTCCTGTGAATTAGGCAAGCACTGATGGCAACTCATTGTAAGCAACGTTTTACCCTGGTGGTTTACATGCTTCTGTGCATGGGGAGTGTTACTGGAGCCTGCAAGTTAACTCCTCAGTGGTCACACAAATGCAGCTAATTTAGAGTATGGATATGAGATGGGTGGGATCAGACATAAAGGACTTCTGTACCTCTCTGACCTAAGCAGCTGTAATAGGATATCTTTTTTAATTCTTCTTTCCCCATTTATTGGTTAAGTTTTTCCAGACCTTGGTTCTCAGAAATGTGTGTGAAAACTGTTGTTTTGCAATACCTCTATAAATAAACTTTATCCCAGTCATCAAACCTTAAAGTTTGTGCTAGGAGAAAACTGAAAATCTGAATATTTTTCAGCAATTTATATTAATTGAGGCTTCCTTTAATACAAAGAGATTCATAAATGTATCAAGAAGTCATACTGAATTAAAAGCTATTTGCCTTGCTGTTTCAAGGCTTCTGTCTAGAGAAGAGCAATTACTAAAATATACTCCTGAATTAAGCATGGAAGTCAGAAAACACCTAAAAAGCATTCAGAGGGCAAACAAAGACACAGGGGTAAAAGAGCGCAGGGAAGCCTCATGCAGACTCTGAGCTGGGTGAGGAGGGACAGCTTCCCAAATGTGTCCCCTTGTGCCCAGGTGCCAAATAAGAAGAGCAGGTTCCTCCTAGCAAATCATGTAGGGCAGGGTCAGGGGAAGAGAGCTCCTCTGTTTCACATCACAGATTTCATCCAGATGAATGTTTACAGCTGCTCAGACACATGTATGCTGCTGCAAGCCGGAAAGCATGAATTGGCCATAGACCTGCCTCTGCCTTGTAACCACAGCACTTCCTTCTGCTTTCTGGGCTGTTTAGAAGGTATAATGAGACCTTTTGGGATAGTGCTTCTGGCTCTGATGTTTCCAACACTGATCCCATCAGTCTCTGGAGTTCAAGGATTGCTTATATTGGGTGCTGAACTTCTGGGCATTTATTCCTTTAGCAATTGTTGCACCTGCAACCTGAACTACTGCAACAGACGTAAAAATAATAGCAGAAGTATAAAAAAAAAAATTTCCTGAAAGGTTTCTTATCGTCTAATTCTTATTTTTTCCAGACTGAAATGAAAATGTTGTACTAGACATGCAAATGTCAACAAACTTGATATTTGGGTTTAGTGAGACTTCTGGAGTACCTATTGCTATTGTACTGAGCAGAAGTGTGGGAGTTTCATTAATTTAACTGCAAAATAGGATTTATTATTTTCAATAAAATCCAGTAAGAAATGCAATGAACTTTTGTTTTCCAAAACTAAAAGGGAAAAAAGCAGTACCTGCTGCTGTAATTTTATTTTTCTGATCCAATTCTGTATTTATTTAAATTACAGTTTTTACTCCTGAGCATTGAGTTGATTGACACACTATCATATTTTTATTGTTTTTCTGGTTTTATGCAATATCTGTGTTTTCTTTTTGTGTTAAAGTACTTGGGAACAGAAAATTCTATTATGGAGAATCTGATCTCAAGCTGTTAAATGCAAGGCCATCTAACATGATTTGCTATTTTTTTATGAGAGAATCCCAACCAAATCAATAAAATTCAAAAGGTTCATGGGTAAAACCATCACATTGAGAGCTTTGAACTGCTCAGAGGTCTTATTTCTCTGCCATGTTTGGTGCTTGTATGGAGGTATGCGTCCCAACACACTGTTACTGCCTCTGCACATCTTCATTTACTACCCACGTTCTTTTTCCCATAGGAGGCTTTGTAATTCATGGAGAAGAAAGAAATGGATAGTCATATTCTCAGTTTCTTAACATCAGAGCATCCTGGGAGAGATGGTTTAGAGCAGATATTTACACACTTAAAAATCTGGCTGTAGTGTGGGTCATCACACATAGCATGTGAGCCTCAAAGCTTTTAAACTAGTAAGGGGAAACGGATTCTGTACTCTGACTTCAAGGAAAAAAAAAAGGAAGTGGGAAATTGCATCTTATTTCATCTATGTGAGCTGATGCCTTTGTTCCTGAAGTTCAACATAATTTCAAGAATCTTGTGTTGAACATTTAAAAGCTCACAGCTACTACTGTATCTGCTGTGCCAGAGCATGAGATCAGAAAGCCAATATACCATGATGGTATACAGCTGTAGAAATTGTCTAGTGTTGCTTCTTGTTCACATCTTGTTGATATGTATTCTGAACCTCTCCAAGGAACTGCATTATGAGCTCCAAAATGACTTAAGCTTGCCAAAACTAGATTTCCCAGGACTTTTTGGCCTGAAGGAGAAGAACTCGGAGTTAGAAGTCAGTCAGGGAAATACCTAGAAAAACTCATCTCCAGGAGCAGAGGACATTCTTATGCTAAGGGGGAGAAAGAAGGGAGGGATGTTTATAAACTCCACGAATACTCCAGTACCAGGCTGGAAGGAGTCATGAGATGGCAGAGCAAAGTTTGCAAACACTTCAGTTCACAGCAGGTAAGAGAGTGGGCTGACCTGGCAAGCAGCCATAGCTGCTGCATCTCCTGTTTGTCAGAAATGAAAGTACTTGCGAATAGTGTGATTTTAAACCAAATTACTTTGTTCTGTAGCAGCGTTACAGGCTTTAATTTTTAATTTTTTTTCCCTGGATGGCTTGTTATTTAAAAAAACCCAACCAACATCTGTATATCCTTGCTCTCTTTTAGTTTTAAAAGGCTGCTGAGATGATTGGCCATCAATTTGCTGTGGCAGAGCAGTGGGAGAAGTGGATTACTGGCAGTAGATGACTGTCTGCCATCTGGATAGATTTTGCTGATAAAATGTATAATTTGGACACAGACATGTGTGCTTGATCTCATTCCAGTGCAGCAGCTTATAGATAGAGTAGTGGAGAGATAGCCCTTGGGTCAAGGGGAGTGCAAACAGCTGCAGAAAGAGGAGTTGGTCTCATTACCTTACTTTTCAGGGAGCAAGGGATGGGTAGAGACTATGCTTTGGAATGGTCTTTGAGGTTATTAAGTTATTTAGTCAGATTCCCAAATAGTTGGAATTATTTTCTTCCTCAGAGAATAGCATAAATCTCTCAGCCTTTCCTTGTTCTTCATTCCTCCTAGTGCTGCCTAGAACTCGGCTCTCAGTAGGGCATTTCTGTGTCCAAAACTCTCCTCAGGTGCTTTCTCAACCCTTGGTTTCTAAGTCCTGTCCAGGCTTTTTGAGGAAGTCTCCTGCTTGTCATCCAGTTCCTCTGTCTAACTAGTTTCTTCTTTTATTGAGAACCATGCTGAAGGCTTTGCCTGTAACAGGGGATACATTACTCTGATTTCACTGAAGCATGTCTGATAGGCCTTTTCCACTCTCTGGAAACTCTGTGGAACCCAGGGCTTTCACCATGTCAAAGGCTCCTTTTGATACCACTATGTAAAAGCCATGTTCCTCTGGATCGTAGTTATGATCTTTTGCTCTATGGGAAGTTAGTGTTTCATCATGTTCAAGGCCAGGTTGGACAAAGCCTTGGATGTCATGGTTTAGTGCGAGGTGTTCCTGCCCATGGCAGGGGGGGTTGGAACTTGGTGATATTAATGTCCTGTCCAGCCCTAACTATTCTATGATTCTGTGTTATCTCTGTCCTGCTTTGTCTATGTGCAGCCAAGTTGCTTGTTTCAGCTGTCTGATAATGCACTGTAGCAGCAGAAGTACACAGAACCTTTTTCTTTGACTTTGTAAATATCTGCCTTCATGTTTAATGTGAAGCATCTTATTTTCCTGTAGAAGGGGAGAGTTTTAAGCAAACACAAGTGGGCCATGGAGCTGTCCACAGTTACTCGGTCAGGAAGAGGGGAAGGATTTCTAACATTGTCAAGAAATGCATCAACCTTCAACCAGAAGGATTCTGTGTACGCAAATAATAAGCCAGTGTAGGCTTTTTGACAATTCACCTGCTTACCAGCCTCACCTACTCATTCTTCTGCACAAAGGGCATTTTGTTTTCAGGATCTTGTCAGGGATATATTTTTTGCAAATCATCTGTTTTAGCTCATCTATATTTTTGACTCCTATGAGGCCTTTCAAATGACTAGTTACTGTTGAATATTCAATGCAAAGTCAGTCTAATAAGTCCCACAGCTCTTGTGGACCTGACAAGGGAAACAGTGTTATGCAAATCTTCTGTTGCTGAAGAAACCGTTTCCAACAGGTTGAATGTTGATAGATGTTGTATTCTTTTTGACTGACAATGGAAAAAACTTGTTTTTCTTAGTCTTGGGAAAAGAAAAAACAGTAGTAATCAGCATAGTTAGGTGCGGTTCTCTACAGCCCACTGTTCTATGTAGCATAGGATGATGTTAGTGTAGGTTGTTGAGTTTTTTTTCCTTCAGCTCCTCATGATGTTACATGGTCCTACCCATGTGTGTGTATGCACACAATCCTTCAGCTATGAAAGACCAGGAGGAGAAAGAGATAGGTCTTTCTTTGCTGTACCAGAAACAGTGTTCCCTGTTTTTAAGGAAGGGCTGGTTTAATCCTTCCTAGGGAGGTGGGGGGTGGTTTTTTGGTACTTGATATACTTCATTCCCTTGAAAAGATTAAGGGGAAAAAAACAAATTATGCCCCTTTGCAACCTTGTGTATTTAAGTTTATGAAATAATTCTCCTAATACATTTTCAAAGAATTGCTTCACCTGAACAAGAGCTGACAAGGTGCATGGTTTGGCCATAGTGGCTGAGTAAATGTACATGGTATAGTTTTTATGTTCTTTAAGTTTCTCCAAAACTGACATAAAAATCTAACCAAAACAGGTTTTCTCATGCTTCTCTATTTCTGCTCAAAGTGGAAAAATCCCTGTAAAACTTCCTTTTCAACTGACACCAAAGGAAAACATGCCTAGCTATTCTGTGAGGCATCCTCCCTTTCCATAAAACATGCAAGTTAATTGAAGCCAGGAAGTGATCTACTTTATGATTAACCATTTTCAAAGATTGCCTTTATTTATTATTTTAACCAAGTCCCTGACATAGGGAACACAACTTTTGGTTCTATGCTAGCAAGAGGTATTTATGCCTTGGCAGATAACATAGTGAACACTATATTTCTCTGCAATGTGTTATGCTAATAGAAAAGGCTACAGAATGCCTGAGGAGTACTATATACCAAGGTTCATCCAGAGATATTAGCGATTGCCAGTATGAAAGCTCTGCTGTACATTAAAGGAAAATATTACAGAAAAGAAGCTAGGTTCAGAGAAAAATCCCCTCATCTCTCTAGACTCGTCATGTCATTACTGATTCTTGCCCTTCCTGTAATTTCTGAAGTAGCCTCTGACAGTATTTGTTTTGGCCTTCATCCAGGTTTTCTTGCTCTAATATTTGTTTTTGCAGTGGTAATGCCTCATAATTTCAATTTTCCATCAGTGAAGAGCTGTGGTCCTGGATTCCGTTTCCTAAAAGGTCTGCTTGTTCAGCTTTCACAGCAGATACATATAATTATGAGCTCCAGGACAAGATAGGTCAGTTTTCAAAATGTGCTTTTAGGGATTGAGCAGTGAGAAATCAGAGCTATTTGGCTGTAGTCTGTGATTCTGGTACCTGGCAGTGAGGCTTGGCAGATATATTTGATTTGGCTAGACAGAGACTCTTCACCTTCGAGAGGCATATGTAGTCTTCTGGATGTAAAGTTCTTATTTCTGGGCAAACTTTTACATTTATATATCTTGATCTTTCCTATGTGGGAAACTGAACTAGAAGATTTTTGAGGGAGAGACACGAAATAAGAAGTTACTTAAAGTAGCCACCAAAGTCTCTTTCTGGAAATGTCTGTCCTCTCCCTGTCTTCTGGGAGAGAGTTGAGTATCTCCCGTGTGGCTAGAGCTAAAGCAGTCAGTGGTTAACCATATGACAGATGGCATGAGCATATGTAGGGATCAAAGTTTGTGGTTTTCTATTGTCACTTGTGAGCTTTGACAGTCTGAGTTCAACTCCAGCATTTCCTGAATGTGGGAAGTGGTGAACCAGTCTACCAATAAGCTCCGGTGCTCCAGATCTCAGAATTCCAGTATTTCACATCACTTCCAGGAGCCAGCACTCCAGGTTAAAGAATTTATACATTTTGAAATGGATCTATTAGTGGGAATTTTATTGCTTTTAGTTATGGCTCTTCCCTTGTCAGTGACCCACCCTCACAAGCGACCGATATTAAAGAGGTGATGTGGATGAGCTGGACATTTGAGTGCTCATTGAAAACAAGGTCCCTAAGTCAGTCAATAGTGACATAAATATTTCTCCTTGTGTCCAAAAAATAAAAGGGTTGAGAGGTTATCAGTCTTCTTGGTCACAGCTTCTTGTAAGGTTAAGTGTACAGTAAGCCATCTCAATAGGTACACCTATGCAGTTTTAGACTTCTACTAATTGCCTTTTCCTTCATTTTATTTTGTTCATAAGGACCAGCTATGTCAGGAAGAAAGTGGGACTGAAACAGAGCTGTTTCCCTCTACTGCTGTGGGAAGCCCAAAGAAAATCTCTCCCTGTGGGTGTAGCAAAACCATGCCTCTGGCTCCAATGGAGTAGCTGGCTGCACCATCAGCAACTCGTAATGGCAATCTTTCCACTCCAGCCCTCTTTTATTTCTTTTTACTGGAAGGAAAGCAATTGAAGAGAGTCGTCAAGCTCTACCAAAAGCTCCCTTTTTCCCTGATTGCCTCAGAGTCAGAATGGATGGGGCAGTTGGTACAGGTGTCTGAGTGGCCAGGCACTTAGAGGATCATGACTAGCTGAAGTGAAATGGAGCACTTGGTGTGGAAAATAGGTGCAGAACTGGTCTTCCTTCCAATACATGAGTTTGCATTTTTAACTGCATCTGCTTAAGGTACTCCTGTTTTGTGCTTTATTTTCCGTACTCTTATGATGAATTAATCAATCCCTGTCATCCAGAGTACACTTCCCCCAAACTTGTTCTCGCACACCACACTCTAAGTCATCTCTGAAGACTTGTGTTTTTATGAGTCAGTCCAGTCTCAACAAAAGATAAGAATGCAACACAAACACATGTAAGGAGAATAAGCATAAAGTACACTTTAGCCAACAGGCATGGCGCTTTGGTCCTAGAACTGGCGAACAGCAACAGGGCTTGCAATGCACGCAAAAGGTAGACAAAATTCAGTTACATTTGCAAAGGCACATTATTTGGGTGGTTTTGGTTTGTTTTTTTATGGTACTTATGGCATGATTCAGCTTTTCACAGCTAGACCTGGATGGCATTTTCCCAAAGAACAGTAACCTTGTCACATAGGAAAAAGGGGGGGAAGGCAGTATCATAAGAACTAGAAGTACCTGGGAAGCTGAGTCACATATGAGCTGCTTCAGACATTATATAAATAAATGGTGATGACTCTTTAAACATTAAAACATTTCATTTGATATTTAAAAAAAAAAATTTTTTTTTTGTAATGCTGATACATTTCAGTTTATGATGTTTTGAAATGGATTTTTAGAATTTGGGTTTCATGCTCCTCACTTCTTTAAAATCATACCTTTTACAAAAAATTTTGAAATAAATAAAATGAGCTGACATGAAATAGTCCTTTCAACATTGAGCTTTTTTTTTAAAAAAAAAAAAGAAAAATAAGGAAAATCCTATTTAACTCGAGCTCATATTGGCAATTGGAGGAACTGAAGCTTAGGAAAATACCTTTGGGTATATTTTCTAGCTTAAGTAAAGCTTGAATTCTGAGCTCCCAAATTTCAGTCAAATATTTAAAACGGCCATTTTCCTCTGTGGTATCAATAAAGTAGGATAAATATTAGGAAACCATAACACAGTGACATAATTTAAAACTCCAGTCTGTTTC